ATTATTCATATGAATAAGGTTGTTTCTCAACACATTCTGCAGCTTTTATAGGTGGAATAAAGAGAACAACAATTATTACATAAGCAAACTTGCAAACATGAAAGACTATTCTTCTGGGATTTTATTTTATTTTTTTTAATGTATTTGTAAAGCACTTTGCAATTTAAGGTGCTTCATAACAGAGAAAACAGTACAATATGGGATGTAAAAATAAAAATAAGTTTTGCTAGATTAACTTATTGAAACATGCCCGCATGCAGGATATATACACATATATGTATATTGATCTCCTGTGTGTATGTGACCCTCCAAACACGCCAAGCTGGTCACCTACCAGATATCCAGTTGCACTGGCACAGGGGAGAGAAGACTGAGTATTGTTGCAAACATAACCACCGCTTTGCACAGTGGCAAGACAAAGGCAAGATGGACCAATACCTTTTTCTTGGCCTGTAGCAGCTCCTGGTAGGCACTGGATCGTATAAAACGAGGATAAGAATCACTTTTCATCAGTTTGTAAATGTGCTCCTGAAAGGGGAAAACGGAGCTGTTACTCCCACAAAAGAAGACATACGTAAAATGGGAGGCAGTTATATATCTTTCAGTTGGGGAATGTATACCAGATAGCACTATTTTGAATAGGAAGTCTTACGGGATAGCAGGTTGCAGTTCTGAAGCTAAGGTGGAACTGCTCTCTATTCTTAAAGTGGAAATCCCACCTATTTGGTATGTATAAAGAACACAACACACCTTTCTTTACTTTATCGTCCCAATTTCCAGTACGGAATTATTCTTCTAAGAATTTACAACTGAGTCCTAGCTTAAAGCCCAGTTTCAAACCTCCCTTACATTAGTCAGTTTAGCTAAGTGACTGAATCAGGAGATGTGGGTCCTTTCTCATCGGGTTTCTGAATTAGCTTTGGGAGACGCTTTTCTGACTTCATAGGCTGGGAAAAGGTACCAGGTTTCTGTTTCAGCACCACAAATAAGTGCTTAAGTTAGGGAGGATATCCCCTGGCTACTCTTGAAAACATCCTTTGACAGATGTTGAGTCTGCTCTCCAGCTGACAATACAAAAAGGAAAATACATACGCAAATTGAAAAACAGTTCCAGGCTAATCTAATTTCCAAGATATTTATTCTTTAGAGGCATATGAAAATTTTGAAACCCTTATCCAGAAAACAAATGACACAAGCCGTTTATAGAACTTTTCTTTTTGGAGCATTCTCATTTCTGTAAAATATGAAAAACTAAAAATTTATGATATGGGACACTTTATAATTCTAGTTCTAGTCACAATGTTAGGCAAGAGATTTGTAGAAAAAGCAATGAGAATAGGAAATACTCCCAAGAAAAAAAAAAAAATAACAAATCCACTGAATTGTGTTAGCTCCCTACCTTTTACTGTAGGAAACCTGTAGCACAGCAATTGGGAAAGAGCAAATAAACCGTAAAGTAAATGCTTCTCAGCTCGGTAGTACATAAAATTAGTGAATAGAAAAAAAAAAACAAACAAACCACCTTGCTTGAAAATTATGGCAAGGTAAAATTAAAGCTGATTTTTAAGTTTGTTGTATTGGAAACTCTAGAAATTATTCTAAGTGCCTTTTGTTATATTTCTTGCACTAAGCAGAGAAATTCTGTTATATATTCAGAACTTAGGCTGGTTCGTTTGGGGAGCTTTTATTCCTCAGAGTTTCTACGAAAGCAGCCAGTGCAGCCAACAGAGAGCAGAAAGGACTATGCTTCTGTCGTGCATATCAATGGTGATGGGCATTAAAATGTTATATCTGTGCAAAACCCAACCTGTAAAAGCAAGAATAAATTAGGCTGTATTAGTATTGTTAATGTACACATTAGTCAGGAACTGAGGCTGGGTGTTAGTTAGCACAATCGATCTGTTTTTATTTATGTATCACTCTCATTTGTCATGGAGTTCCATGCTGCCATCTTTCAAGTCCAGAAACGCTTTTCAAAACATTTTCAACCAGAATTCCATGACCTGCCAAATGCCAGGATGACTTATAAGTGGTCTCTTTCCCAACTGGCAGGCCATAAAGAGCCTGTTGCAGAGGGAGAGCCCTGCTCCCGAAAAAACCCTGCCACTTCAGGTGCGGAACTCTGTAAAGGTCCTAAAGGTTTAAGTCAGAACACGGCAGGTAGAGTTTGCCCCCGTTTCCCAGAGAAATAGAGGCTTCCAGGTTCAAGTTGTATGCTGAACC